AAACAAGAAACCATCAAGGATCCGGGACCATTGGGCGCCAGCCTCGAACCCGAGAGTCACCTCAAGACTTCAAGACTTCAAGAAGGTCCAGAATTCCACCACACAGGTTTAGCATTACCGTACGGTCAAAGCGCAAGGGTTACCATCAACGCACTCGTCCAGGAATCCGGAAGTTCCCTGGCCAGAGCCTAAACTCCTGCAACCTCACTTTAGGCTTCGAGACATTTGTTTTACTTCACCCGGTGGCCTTGATCGGACACTTGGCGCGTTGGTCTTGGCTCACGCTTTGCGCTTGTTATTCTGGTGTACGTTGTTTTCAATGTTTATATTTGTGTTGTCAGATGGCGTATGTCGATCAAGAACCAGAGATAAAGCTCTTTGGGAAGTGGAGTGCCGATGATGTAAATGTCAGCGACTTGAGCTTGACGGTAAGCGATGCATTCTACCGGTTTGTAATTCCTTAAGGATCATATTTCCGTCAAAGGTAAAGGCAATCCTATTCTGCCGCATACTGCGGGTAGATACCAAGTTAAAAGGTTCCGGAAAGCTCAGTGTCCACTGATAGAACGAGTGTGTTGCTCGTTGATGATGCACGGAAGGAATAACGGCAAAAAGCTTAAAGCATTGAACATTCTCAAGCATACCTTCGAGATTATTCACTTGCTCTCAGGAGAGGTGAGTTTGTTAAATGATGATTTCTGTCTCGTTCGTATGAACTCTGATTTCAACCGAAGTCTGATACGTTTTACAATAAGAGGGGGTGTCGAGCGGATACTAACCGTATGCTTGTTTTTTCAGAACCCGATACAGGTCCTCGTGAATGCTATTCTCAACAGTGGCGCTCGAGAAGATTCCACTCGCATTGGTCGCGGTGGGACTGTTCGTCGTCAAGCGGTTGATGTGTCACCACTGCGACGTGTAAACCAGGCCATCTATTTGCTGTGTACGGGTGCCCGTGAAGCAGCATTTAGGAACGTCAAAACCATTGCAGAGTGCTTGGCGGACGAACTTCTAAACGCGGCGAAGGTAAGCGTCTCATCACTCATTATCTATTCTCCAGGGAAGTTCCAATTCCTATGCGATCAAAAAGAAAGACGAATTGGAAAGGGTTGCCAAGTCCAACCGATAAAGTGGGCTGGTTCAATATATTTGGTAATAATAATTTGTTTTTTGTTTTTAAAAAGGTGGGGATAGTTTCTCGGTTTTCCTCTTAGCTTTTTCAGGATTCAGAGGAACGTTAATTATTCTGCTGGTCGATCCACGACATTGAAATATTCCACGGAGAGTTTGTAGTAGTCGATGACGTAATTCGCGCAAACGACCGCGACCTTGGTTTTTTGCATTCAGGCGATCATGAGGTTAAATATTCCTGAAATGTATTTTAGCCCGATGTCGAAGACTACTAACCATGGATGTTTTGACTGGCCATCGTTTCCATGTTCGAGTACCACACATTTGGTGACCTCAGAAACGGTAAGAGGACAACATAAGAACCTGAGTTTTGATTGCGTTATCTATCACAAGGGTCATTTGCCTGTTCCTGGATCCCGGTTCAACAACAACAAATGTTTGCGGTTTTTTGAGCCTCAGATTATTGAATAGCGCCGCACTAACCCCAAATTACAGGCGGCGGTTTCAGAACTGCCTAAACAATGGTGAATTCCCTGATGCCCGGAATGTCGGTTCGGGTAATTGAGCGGTCAATCGTGCATCAACGTCATTGTACAGCGTAATACAGTGAAGCGAAATTCACAGATCGCTGTGAAACTTATACTGCATACAAGGTAACTGAGAATGTTTGGAGGATGGTTGTTGGACGTTTAGGAGCGGGAAAGAGAAAGAACCTCTATGGTAACAGTTCACAGTTTAACTGTGCATACATAATATAGCAGTTAGCCTGGCCTGAAACAGCATGATGGCTGTCGGTTCGCAGCCGTGACCTTCAGTGTCTACAACCGTGCGGTTTCGGAGTCCTTTAAACCTCATTCTTAGTCGAGAGACTCTGTTTTACCCGATCGCTCATTCCTCGTCGCCATCTGATCTGCTGGCCTCCACGTGGCTTTTCCCAGCCTGCAAAAGTCACTGCGGTAGAAAACCGTGTCCTTACCAACGATGCCTATTGATCTGGGATCGATGTGCTACCGAGTTCGTGTTCGATGCGTTCCCTAATACCCGACGACTTGCTAACCCGCTCACTCCATCCCACTTGGGCCGGACTACGTAAGCATCGATTGTCGGAAACCACCAGGCCACGGATGTCTTCTACTCGCAAATCGTGCATTTCTTGAATGATGGGAATGACATGAATTGGTTGGATACATTGGTTGATATGGCAGAACGCCTAGAATAGTGCAATTTTGTTGTTTGATCGAAATGCACAGTTAGGTCACCTTATGTGTTGGCCATGTTGACTCGACTCCCTCCGTCTGTATGCATTGTGAATCGATCAGAGGATTTGACTGTTGATGGACGGTTGTTTGCGTCTGTCCGAATCGCATTTTCGGTTGAGGTCCGAGGGATTGACGTGATCGATGACAAGACTAAGAGATGTGGCTTATAGTACAAACTAGTGCGTCTATATTGTTCGGTTTGCTAATTAAAACTCCTTGAAACCGTGTTCGCCTGGGGTGGGGCGGTGCTCCGTAGGTGAAGTCACCCAGGGGCACGTGTGATCGACTCTTCAGCGTCACCTAGTGGTGTAATAGTCAACATCCGCTAGTGCAGCTTCGTACGGGCGCCCGGTGTTCTGTGCCCCTGGACCTCTCAACTTCTCATTGGTAGCGGGAATTTAAAGTCCACTTCGCGTTTTGCGCAATATCTGATTTTGTATGCAAAACCGGCTTGAGCTAGAGTGGCAAGCTGGGTCTCCTTTGACGAACTGTGCCGTGGTTTTCGAACGATCCACCTAGCTCGTGCGGTCTTACAACAACTCTCGAATAATAATGACTTCAGAATGCTTTCGCATACCATCCGTGATTATTTCCAATCGGTCGAACACATTGAGGTTTCGCGGTCCCTCTTGTTGAAGAACTACGCCCATCGCTGGTTACCAATGCTCGGGTAACTGTAGTACTATCCGCATCGTGCATAAATGATCGATACATTCGCGACCTGGGGGAAATCATGTCATCTGTTCACTGATATTCGTATGTTTCAAAGGCTTTAGGACGTTGGAGTATGGCGTAGGTCAACACTGGAGCAAAACTTGGTTGAAATTACTCACGTAGTGTTTTGCGCCGATTTTTCCGGGATACTTTCTCTAAAAGACGGTCAGTTTCATGGCCTTAATTGCCGGAGTGACATGATGTTACACAGTAAATCATCGATAGCACCTACCAGGTCAGCACATGGTAATCCATCCGATCCTGTTACTTTTCGTAGCTTCATACTTGTGTTTCTGGTGGAGGGTCATATAACGGTGCCCATGGTGCTGCAGCTTGCACACGAAATAACTCGATCAGCACCGATGCAGCGGAACTGTCCATCAAAATGTTCCGCTAGGTGATCTAGCCGCTGTTCCCTATTGAGCTTTCCAGTCTTCATCGCAGTGTGTAGCCAACCTCTAGGGGTGCGTATCAACTGTTCTTTGATTATTCCCGGTAACAGAGGCTTCTTCCACTTCACTGCATATTTTTGCATCAGCTCTTACGGTCCTTTTTCATACTTTTCGTGAGTTACAGATGCAACCTACCCGTGATGATCTTAGCCGGTAGGGAGGCAACCATATATATATATATATAGCTCATGTATCATCGCCTAAGGTGCATAGGAAATACCCATAGTACTAGGGTTCCCGACTCGCATCAGCATTGGACGTACCTGAGTCAGCCCTCAATGGATGATTCCAGATTCTAGTTATCGAGCTTTCCAAAACTACAATCAACTTCGTGGGGAATAACTTTCAACGCCTTTTGGTTATGAATTTCAGCAAAGGGGCAGCTTCAGGTATTAAGTATAGGCAAAGAAAGGGCTGGGTACAAAAGACTGAAACAGGTTAAGATATCTGAGCTCTTGCGCTCTCATCACTATCCGCCCTCTAAATGCAATGGGTGCCACTGTCCTGATCATCTTGCAGGACGACTGATGCAGTATGTAACTAGTTATAGTTCGTGCATGCATTGAAGAGTGATGGGTTTGTGTCAAGTCAATGATCAAAAGAGGATAGGGTTATCGTCTAAAGTTCTGACAAAGTCGTGCTCAAAAGGCATCGATTGGAGCGAAGATAAGTGGAGGCCTTATTTACTTTGATTATCCCGTCATTTTTCTTACCGCCAGGGACGCCAATACAAACCGAACCTGTGAAGGCGTGCTCGAATTTTGACCGATCTACACCCTATCACTTTTCAGGCACGGTGAAGTCCGTCCGCTTGATACAAGCCTTCACAGGGAGCTCGTTGGGTGCGCTAACCATCAAAACATGTCAGGATGCAGTTCGTTGATGTCGGTTTACTGTACTCGGTATGAAGGTGAACTTCGGTATCTTAACACCCTAAGATTATGACCTGCCCAATAAAAGTTCATGGGGACGGAACAGATGAATTTTAGGTCAAACGAAAGATGTGCACATCATTCTTATTTCCGGTGGATTGCTAGAATCTAGCTTCATCTATGAGCGCCTTTAGGAAGTTTGTGCAAAGTTCATCTGGGCATGCTGCTAGGTAGTTGGTTAATTCTAGTGCATTTGGCTTCGGCCTAACTTTGAAACAGATCAATGTCGCACGTTTGAAACCGGATTTGAACCATTAGGACTGGAATCTCTCACTCCGTGATCGTTCTTATTAGTCATTTAATGTTGTATATCAGCATGAATACGTATAACCAAATAAGACGTTACATGCCACACTGTTCCCAAAGTGTTTTGGGGACTATCCAGAAGTTAGTAAAGTTGAGCTTGTCTGACCTATATCTTTTGATTTACTGAACTTAAATACATCGGCTTAACTCACTCGCCGCTGTAACTGATTGAATCACAGAGGAGCCCGAGGTTGATTAGTAGGAGAGAACCAGTTAGTAGCTGATTTGTTCTGCCATGTAGCCTTCATCATCATGGTAAAGCGAGATACACTGATCGTTGCCAAGTAGTCGAGGGAATACCAAGTAAATTTTCGGATGCTGTGACGTTGAGTCGCTTCAACAATAAAATACTAAATAATTGTCACTCCGGTGCATGGGACTCCGAAATTTTTTGTGCAGTCATCTGGCCTGTGATCTAGGTGCTGGTTCGGTACTTCACTTGAAAGGATGGGCTCGTGGGTGTAGAGAACAGCGCGAATGAATAAGTCATCAGATCATAGTGATCTGTAAATCGAACACTGACACCCTGTCGAGGAGATGATGTGTGCACAGTGTAACCCTCCAAAAGCTTCAATGTGGTCGGGGCTGGGAGTCTAGGGTTGCGGCTGGTCACCCTTCCCTTGCATCTCGCGAAATGCTCCCATACGACCAAGCGTCTCAAGTAGCCTCTGTTGAGGAAGCCCGACTCAGTCTTCTCTTGGCGGTGTTTCTCACCAAGGTGAGAAGACGAAAAGTTGACATCCAGGGCTATAACCGGATTGTTGGATCACTGGTAATTCACTTAGGGGAGTTGGCCAAAAACGCTGTATGCTACCGAGCGCGTCTCCAGGTCGCGGATAAGAGAACGGCCGTCATCTCGCGGCTAACCGTGAATAAGGTGGGCCTCAACCCTCCGAATAAGCGGTCGCGGACGATCAGCGGCAGCGCTCGAGGATGTGGTGGGTTTACCCCTGGCAAGGGTTCTTCGCACAAAACACCACATTTATCTGTGGACAGCGCTGTGACGTGGCGAGTGTGGCCCGCCACTAAATATGTTCATTGCTCCTCGTCGGGATCAATTGCTCGACAAGGTTTTCCAGAAGAGGTGAATGAACCAACTACTGGCCACCGGCTCATCTGGAATATCGCTGCTGCCTTGCAGCCCTCGCTTGGTTGCGCAAAGGCTAGAGTGCACCCTCGAACAAGGCCTACTCTGTACCGGGCGACTGAATAGTACAACAGCACCAGCAATGATGAACTCTTTGACTTTCATATGCATTCAGTCTGCCATTTCCACACCTACAGATAAGCACTCTACACCGTACACATTCATGTCCCCCAACCCTACCCAATCCT